AGCAGGGTCAGCCCCAAAGTGCAGCTGCCCCGCGCCCCTGGCGAAGTCCCTGGGAAGTGGCTCTGTCCCTGCCGCTGCGGCAAAGCTTGAAAGCTTTTGCTGTGCCCAGGTCTGTAGCGTGAAGGCGGCCGTGCCGAGCAGGGAGGCCGTGCCCTTGCGCCCTGCTCCTCTCCCGGGGGCCGGGGGGCTGAAAGGCTTTCCCACCGCAACGCGACGCGTGAGCGGCCGGAGCTGCCTCAAGTAAATGAAGTCTGGCTGCCGGGTCGGGTCCTGCTCCTGGCCACGGTCCCGACCGTACGCTGTGGGCCAGCGGCCGCGAGGTCAGATGCGGGAGGAAGGGCAGGAAGAAATTGCTTGTAAATAGACTGTCTTCCATAATTCTCATGCAACTTTGATGGCCGTGTACTAAAATTAACCCCAGTGTAAATGAATGAAATACTAACAGTCATGGTTAGAACGATTGCTTCTTTTTTTCTTTACCATGGAATGATAAATGTGAAATTCAGACATGGGAAGGCATTGGGTTGAGGTTTCTATTATTTTTTTTTTGACATTTAATTCTGTAATAGAAATTTGTTACTTCATTCCTGTGCATAACTTATTTAATGTACTGTATAAAGGAACCTGAACTGTTACAGATGTATTTAGTTTGTTCTACTCCAAAGTAGTCAATAAAAAGACTATATTCACCCCCGCTCCCCCTTCCTCGGGCAGAAGGAGCAGGGCGGTGTGGCGGGGCTCAGGCCCCCGGGGCTTCTGCGGGAACTTGGCCGTGGCCTGGGCCAGGGACGAACCTGGGAGCTGCTGCAGCGGGGCCTGGGGGGCACTGGGCAAAGCCCGGGAACAGGAGCAGGCGGAGCTGGTATGCGGCGATTTTGGATTTCTTTGGGTTTATGTTTACATGTGTTCTTTTGAGCTGCTTTTTTTTTTTTTAAATGTGAGCAGAGCACAGCCTGCGCAGGGCGGTTGTGGCGCCAGCCCTGCGTCCCCCGGGCCGCTTGCAGCCACCTTTGCCTCAGCCAAGGGCTTCGGCTCCCCAGGCCACTGCAACCACAACTGCAGGGGTGAAGAAATCCAAACCTGGGGGCAAACCCTGCACGAGTCCTGCAGTGCCCAAAGCCGATGTCGGCTGCAGCTCTGCCCTTTGTGGCTGCCCTGGGTGCCCCGGCACCCCTCGGCCTTTACCAAGGGCCCATGGCTCAGCTCGCGTGTGGCTCCCATGGGGGGACCCAGCCCCACAGAGCCAGGGCCTCACAGCTGCCTCCGCTGCCCAGGGCCCTTGGCAAACTGTGGCTTTGGCCGGGGTCAGGGCAGTTACGAATAATTTGGTAAATAATTGGGCGGATGGGTCCCACCTGGGAAGGGTCAGGCTCTGTGTTCGCCCCGGCCCCGGGAGGGGGCATTTGCTGCTTGGCTGCCTGAGCCCCGGCAGTGTTTGACACTGCCTGAGCCTGCAGCAGAGGCCACCGTCCCCCCTGCTCCAACGAGGAGGAGGCTCCCAGCATCACCCAGGTCACCCCCCCGCACCCAGGGAGCCCCTGGGAAGCTCTGGCTGGGGCAAAGCGGCCACCCCAAACCCATTCCCCCACCCATGTTGTGGCCCCACAGTACTGGGGCAGGGGGTGACACTGTTGCCGGACGTGCCCAGCACAGCTTGTATGGACCGAGCTGCACCCCCTGCCTATTCAGCCACAAATTAACTGCATTTTTAATTGCTGCACCCAGGGACGGGGGAAGAAACACTCTGTTTCTGGGGGTGCTGTTGGGGAGCAGCACCCATGGGGAGTAGGAAGCGGGGGCAGGTACCCAGGTGAGCAGGCACCCATGGAGACCCACACCGGGTGTTGGGGACAGGCAGGGGCACGAGGCTGCTGGTGTTCTCTGTGCCAGGAGGCATTTGCCTGTGGGCATTTGCTGCCCGGCCGCAGTGCCCAGCCCTGCTTGCATGGCTGCGTGACAACAACCGTGCACGTGGGCCCAGCTCTGGGGAGGATCTGCTCCTGCAGCGCCAACAAAGAAACCCGCAGTGTGCAACTGCTGGACGGCTCCGGCCAGGGGGGGCTTCCCTGCTCATCTCCTGTGCCCCGGCACCATTAATGCAGCTCCAACCTCTTTCTGGCAGCACTGAAACGAGTGCCAACGCTGGTTTATGTTAACCGAGCCGCAGGATGAAGCAACAGAGCAATCAGCCACGCGCGCCTTCCCCAGGAGGTGAGCAGTGGGTTACGGGGGGACGGGCACAGCTGGGGGAGCACGAGTCTGGTCTCAAAGCCCTCAGAATGGCTGCACAGGCTGCTGGCGCGGCCAGGGCTGGATCTGGCCCACCTTGACAGAAACAGTTAATTTTTTTTTTTTTTTT